TCACTGCCCTACAGAACCTCACTGCCCTACAGAACCTCACTGCCCTAGAGAACCTCACTGACCTATAGAACCTCACTGACCTACAGAACCTCACTGACCTACAGAACCTCACTGACCTACAGAAACTGATTGACCTACAGAAACTGATTGACCTACAGAACCTCACTGACCTACAGAAACTGATTGACCTACAGAACCTCACTGATCTACAGAAACTGATTGACCTACAGAACCTCACTGACGTACTTAAGGCGAGATCAGTGAACAAGGCCAGGCTGATTCTGGCAGATCCTGATCACCACTCCATGCTGAGTTCAGGTTGCTTCGGTCTGGACGCAGGTATCTGCTGCCCAGATGTAGAACGAACAGACTGAAAGACTCATTCATCCCTGCAGTGATCAGGCTTCTCAACGAACAATGATGATTTATGTACGGTTATTTTAACGTCTTAATGTCTTGTCTATGGATGTTTTATATTTCCACTGACTGTGAAACAAACTGCCATTTGCGGATAATAAAGATAGTTGAACTTGAGCTTGTGATTCATTTCTAAACCAAGAACATCCATCAGACATACAGATGTAAATAATTATTACACTAACTGGACAGATGGCGTGAAATATTAGAGCAGTTTATATGTTTTGAATTTAAACATTGAATAAGATACAATTTAAACAAAACCTACCTTGGAGAGGAGCAACAGCTGATTGAAGTACAGTTAAATTATTATTGATGACTTGTAATCATTAGTGTATGAAATTACCCTGATGATTTGTATAGCAGGTTTCTAAGGAAGTGCACACAGTTGTTGCTATGGTGACAAAAGCATTCCAAATCTAGAGGGGTGATGTGTGAAAATAAACGGTCAAATAAATAAAAAACATAAATGCACTGCAGGGTTTCTGTGAATTCCGTACATCGAACATTTTCCTTAATGTACTTTAAAACACCGTTATTTAAAGGTGTAGGTTTTCTAGAATGAATGTATCTCCAGCCGCATTACATGTGTTTTAGTCGAGCCTTGTAAATAAAGTTTTGCACAATCTCATGAAATGTCATGAGTGCATGTTCTGAACGACTCACAGCTACTACCACAACACTTTTGATCTTAAAAAAGGACTTTGGTATAATCTAGATTAGCTGTGGTCGCCGTCCATCCTATCTTTGGAAGCAGCGGCCCAGAGGTTAGAGAATGTGAGCTTGTGATTGGTAGGTGGCTGGTTTAAATCCCCAGAGCAGAGCATAAAGTTAGGATGGGAAAGTTTAGGCACCCACATCTGCCCCCACACTTTTTTGCCCCACTGTGGGCCCTTGAGCAAGGCCCTTAACCATCCAGCTGTTCCCTGGGCAATTAATAAAGTAAACTTTATTTTTAATGTTATTATTGTTGTTGTTGTTGTTGTTGTTGTTGTTGTTGTTGTTGTTGTTGTTGTTGTTGTTATTAATAATAATATTAATAATAATAACAATAATAATAATAGTAATAATAATAATAATAATATTATTAACTGGCATGACTCCAGAAGGTAATCAGTTGTAGATGTACATCTAATTAATGTTTTCTTAAAAGTTTCAGTCAAATCTGTCCAGAGGTTGATTGGATATTTTACTAACAAACAGGCTTCACTCAAACAGTTAACTGGAGTATGAGTTATGAATGATTCTCAGCTACTACCACATCAAATTTGAGCACATTATCTGTAAAATTGATTTATAGACATGTATGTGTTTTCCAGTACACCTGTCTGTGGTGGCCAACTTGAACTGGACTGCTTCCAAAGTTGAATCAGTTGAAGACTTTCATCCAGTGGTGGTTGTTGTGAATGTTTTATTAAACTTTGTCCCGCTGTTTATGAGAAATTTTGTTAACAGACTAGCTCCAATAGTTACTGCCAACTTTATACATAAAGATCTTGCAAAATTTGTTAAATTTTCCATTTTCCAGTTTTAACTCAAACTAAGATGATAAATCTGAACACGCGAGAAAGAGAGAAAAATAAATAACATTTTTTAAAAACTTTCTCGTGGGACCTGATCTTTGGATTGCTCAAAAGTCAAGTCACAACCTGCATCAAACCGTAGAAATATTTCCAACACTAAAAGGCTGTGATGCTTTCCAGTTCAGTGAGAACTGCACAAATAAAAACCAGCATGTCAAAGATGGCTCAATAAAATACATTTTTGTGTTTTTATCACAAAGTTCACTGGCAGAAGTTTGCAACTGAACATGTAGACAAACTATTTTTGAAGATGTGCGCTGAGGAAGGATGGAGGTAAAATATGTTTATGGGTGACTTATACTTGGAGAAAGAAGGTGCAAAGTAAAGAACATTAAGCAGAATCAATGATAAGCTCTGCAGCTGCAGCCAGCAGCACTGAGAACACAACACTGATAATATTCAGCTTTTATTTTGACTTTATTTTACTTTTATTTAATCAGGCAAATGTCACTGAGATCACAAAGCTCTTCTGCAAGAGAGGCCTGAAGGCAACCTAACATTTTATTTTATTTAACCTTTATTTATCATTGAGTCATCGCGACTCATTTTCAAGAGAGACCTGTTTTGGGAGCAGATGGTGGGGGTTCAGGGCCTTGCTCAAGGGCCCAGGGTGGGAAAAATGAGGGTGGAGGCGGGCGTATGTGTTTCACTTTTTCCACACACATTGTGATGGTGTCGGTTCAGGGAGTCGAACCGGCGACCTTCCGATCACAGGCCCACCTTCTCTAACCTCTGTACCACCACTCCACATGCATGTTTTTGTACTGTGGGAAAAAACTGCAGTACCTGGAGAAAAGCCACGCAAACAAAAGTAGAACAAACTCACACAGAGAGACACCTGGGGATTGAACCGAGGACCTTCTTACTGTGAAGCAACAGTGCTAACCACTAAACCATCGTGCTGCCTTTTATATACAGCATACATGCAACATACTATAGAAGCACTTAGTGCTACAAAATCATGTAAAACATATATTTTTGGGCAGTTTGCAAACATCATAAATCATAGTGTTTTTCTAACGTTTTCTTTCAAACTGTCAAAAAGCTTTTCAGAACAGCAGAAACTAACCCCAAATATCCGGCTGCACTCTGAAAACATCCAGCACGACTCACAAAGTCTCACATTGAATGAAAAACTATTTAATTCTCACTCTAATTGTTTCCAAACACACTAAACATCTAAAGGTACACACTGAATGAAGTGCCCCACCGTCTGAAGTTAAAATAAGATCATTTAATGTTACTTCTATGGTTTGTACTGTGACATGTCACGCTCAGAGTGTGTTTTGGGAGTCACCCTCAGCAACTACCACATTAAATTCAAGCCCAGAATCTAGAAAACTGACTGAGTTTTTCTCTTGGCTAAACTCAAATATCTGTGCAGCCATAAATT